ATGGTTCCCACCCAACTGCAGGTGCAGTTATTTTCGCGCTACACGAGGAGTCCAGACCACTCCAGCGCCTTGTGGCAGCTGTTGCGTGGTGAAGAACGAGTGCACTGAAAGAAAATTGAATGCATGACCTAAAGTTCAACTAGAATGGCTTTGGTATCGAGATTGAAGTTTCACTGCACTCAACCTAGCTAATGGTCCTACGAACGAAAAGTGACCGCGCGAGGCAGCGGTTACTGGCATGTAGGGCCCTATCGAGCTTTGGGTCGTCGGCGGCCTCCTCCCCGTGGGTTGGATTCGCCTGAAAATTCGTCGGACGCCAAAGGTCGAGGATGATGCGCAATCTTCCAGTTGTGGATCCCGGAGGAGCGGATCATATTAGCTAAGTCCAGCAAAACCGAATGGGGCTGATTAAGACGCGTAGCGTCGCAGAGGTAGCCGTAGCAGCCAGTGCGGCGTACCTCATTGATGATTTCGGAATCGGCGTCGACGTACGCGCAAATCCCCAATCGGGTGACGATTGGGGTTTTGCCTTCCGGCCCGACTCGGGAGTTAGTGAGGAATATTCCCCCTCCCATCTGGAGTCCAGCTGCGCGAACGCAGTCACGGAAGTGCGCGGTTTGTGAGGCCGCTCTTGCGTAACCTTCATGTCCCGTGAAGGATATGATGGTTATTCTTGCGCCGAGGCGCTCGAGATTGGCCAGAGCATCAACGCACTGTCGTGTGGGGACTTCAAGCTTATACACCAACATTGCATCTAGAACCTTATGGAAGTCTAGACCAACCTCGATGTTATGAGCTTGACCGGGTAAAGTTAGGGTCATAGGGTCACACATTTGTTGACCGAAGACGTGATGCGCCTCTTGCCACAGTTCGAGGTAACGATTGCGAGGGAGTGGCATATCGTCGTCCTGCTGTGGCGGGTTTGGAGGCGGAGGGTCTCCAAGAGTTGGGGGCGCTAATGTACCGCCTTTTGGTTCAGCCTCTGCAGGATCTTCCTCCGCGCGAGGCGCGGTTGCGGAAGGTGCAGGAGGTGGCGGGTATCCGTGACCTCTGCCTCTGCCTGTTGCATCCTGTGCGACGTTTGCGGGAGCAGGGCTCGAAGACCGCGGTGGTCGCTCAGGCATCGGCTTAGGTTTTGGTACCTGAGCCGGTGGTGGCGGTGGTGGAGGCTTGCGAGGCCCGGGCGGAGGTGTTGTGAAGAATCCGTGAGGGAGGAACTCTTCAACCCGCCCTGACTCAACATACTGTGGTTTACGTTGAGACGGATCCTCGCGAATGCATTGTGGCGGTGGCTTGACTACCAGGGGCTTTGGTGGCGGTGTCCTAGATCTCGAAGAACCGGATGGTGCCGCCCCGGAGTCTGTGGGTGCATCGTCCAAATCGTCATCGAGCGACTGATCGGCCCAGTTGCGATTCGGGGTACGATGTGTTGGGTCCACAAGTGGCGTTACGGTTACCGACGTCCTCGAAGGGGATTGCGCTGGAGGTTCACCTGAACTATGTCCAGTTACTACTCTTTGGGCAACCAGAGGGACGGTACCCCGCGTATGCTCCGCAAAAGATGGCTCCGCGCTGGGCGCGGTTTCTTCCGGAGCGCCGGGACCAGGCCTTAGCACAACCCGTGACGTCGTTGCAAAGACAACACGAGAGCGCTTCGGTGGCGGAGGATTTGCCGACGCACGCGGCTTCGGGGCCGGTGCTTCAGGCGCCTCCTCGGCCTCTAGGGCGTATGTTGGTGCTCGCCGCCAAGGGGCGGTTGCTCGAGGTTTGGCCACTGGGCGAGGTGGACTTTCTTCGTCGTCCACGTCCATGGCGTGTACCTCAGTGTTTGGGTGCACCAATAGCTCTGGATGTGGCACTGTCAGACCGCCGGGTTCCCTCGTTGGGCGGGTTCGCCATACGTGGTCAGGCAAATCATAGACAGTGTCACGAGCTGTGTCCATCGGAATGGGCTGCGCCGGCGGCTCGCGGGCAGCGTGTTGGAGTCTGACGAATCCGCGCTGACGCGGTTGCGGTGCCTCCCTCGGCTGATTAGGCTCCGGACGCGGAGCGTCGGCTGCAGGAGGCTGCGCGGACACGGGTAGACTCCGATTGCTTGCCTTCGGTGGAGGTGGCCTTCGAACCTTAACGTGAGGTGGTAAGGTCTGTGGCCTATGAGGAATATTCGGATACTCGGGGTCTAATGGTGGTGGATTAGGAGGAGTTGCGGCTGCAAGTGCACGACCTAGTCGACCGGACCTTACGGCTCGGGTTATCGTGTTAGCAGCACGGGTGCGAACTGCCTCTAGATCTTCACCTTCGACTTCGACCACGGGATCTGGCTCGAAAGTTTCCTCTTCCTCCCGCGCAAGCGCGGTTCCGCCTTGTCCGTCCTGTCGGACTGCGCCCTCCTCCTCTGCTTCTGGGTACCCTGGATCTACTTCAGCCTCTGGAGCGGGTGCTCCCTCCTCGGTTCCAACACCATCCATAGGATCATCCGCCTGTTCGGTGTCGTCGGCAAGATGGACCGTGCGTGTCGGCTGCTCCGTGTCCGCGAGAAGCTCAGCGGTTTCACGATTAGGCCTGGGGCACGGCCTGGTTGGTCGAGGAGGTCGAACTGGCTCTGAGGTCCGGGTCTGAGACCTAGATCTTGGAGTTCCTTGGGGAGTTTGGGATCGGGGTTGCACAGGGTGATCGACAGGTCTCAACTGCGGTCTCCAACCTCCTGACTGACTGGCAGCGCTTGCGCCCACTACGGGCTGAAAAGTGCGCGCCGGGACGGTCACGGGGAAGGTTTGCTGGGCAGCCGGAGCTGCCTGCGATGAGGTCGCCGTCGAGGAGTGGACCTGGCGGAGCGGGATGAACTTGTATGTCTTTTGGTAATACCCAGGCGGAAAACGGTATGTAGGTTGCTTCACACCGTTTGAGATGTCCGGCATGTGACGTGTGCACCATGACCAGAACTCTGGTATAATGGCCGCCCAGGCTTTGAGTGCCCCGTCGGAAATGTCTCCGTCTTCAGGGGACTCGGCCCATGCATCAGCATGGAACACCGCATACTTATACCATTCGGAGTAGTCTCTCCGCGCAATCAGCGGTTTCACGAATGGTAGATGGTATGTCTTACGAACCCGACGGTAGGTATGCGACGCCAGGTGACTTGCGATAAGATCACATGTGAGAGCGTACTTCTTGTCGGACTGTTCGAACTGGTGTTTTTGGCCTCCCCTCGCGCCGCGCGTACGCTTCGGCTGAGGATCTACGGCTGCGGAGGTTGTTTGTGATGTCTCCGCGCCAGGCGCGGTTTCGTCGTCAGCCTCTTCCCCTTCCTGCTGCTCTTCTTTGGGAGCGGGCCCCGCCTGATCAACAGGGTCGTCGCCTGGCTCTTCGTCTCCAAAGTCAACTTCAGCCTCGTCAAAGACCGGATCGGTGGCCAATGATTCGAACTGCGTTGGATGATTATGAGTATGCAGTGGGGGTAGGCCTACAGGGGAGGTTGAGGGATCGGCATAAACTTCTTCCTCTACTTCCTCCTTGGCTGTGGGCTCTAGCTTAGGTGGGCCTAACAACGAAAAGACATCAAAGGACGGATCGTCGGCGTTAGATGGGCCTAACGTGCCGTCTTGAGCTGGCGAGACCTCTCCGCGCGAAGCAGCGGTTCCGGTCTGGAGCTCTGCTGCAACGAGAGGGGCTTCGTCGTCAAGAGAACCAAGTGTGCTGGTCTCTGGAGGCAACTCGACGGTGGTCGGCTCTGCGACAGGCTCTTCCGGTTGAGGGTCGTCAACCTCCTCCTCCGCCTCTGCGGTTTCTGAACCCTGAGGCGTGAATGTCGGTTGGGAGGACGAAATGCCTGAAGCGACCCGGGGAGTAAGGGGTGGCTGAACGGCCTCCCCAAACTCTTGGTCCGTGGTCTCCGCGCTAGGCGCGGTTCCGACCACACCCTCAGGGGAAGCGGATGCTTCTTGATCCTGAGGGTCCCCAGCAGGCGCCGTGGCTGGTGCTGCAGCCGATGAAGAGGCAGCGGCGCCGGTTGCTTGCGGCTGGGGGTTGACACGACCCATTGGTGTCCTATGCAGGTGCGAAAAGCGTGCTGCAATGGACCACTGGATGGGGTCGAGTGATGATGCCTGTAGCTCACGGCTACGGCTGATAACCAATTGAGTGTACAAACCAGGTGGGGCGTAGGGAAACGCCCAGGCAACCCTCTCAACCGGAAGGTGGTAGAAGAAGTATGCCAGATCCCTGGAAGCACGGTCTATATTAATAAGTGTACGAGGAACGTCGGATGGACGGGACCCCGTGGTTGCGTGTGAGCCGAACGAACGAAGGCACGGCGGCGAACGAGCGAACGGAAAGTGGCAAAAGGTGCGGAAGCGAAATGCAGCGAAAGCAGTGACGCACACGGCACGTCAAAGCGGCACCCTGAAGAGAATCGAGCGGACGCCCAATTTTCTTGAGCCAAAGTGGTCGCGAACGGAGTGAATGTGTTGTACACTCTTGGTGAAACGCGACAACTGAAAAGTGTACATGTATTGAATGCTGTTACATACTAGGGGTTCACAGAAAATGACTAATCAAACCACTAATCAAACTACTATGTCAATGCGATGTTGCCAAGCTTGCACCCAAAGGTGGCTATCAAAGTCGGTCAGCGCTCAGTAGTTTCATGTAGTTTCGGGACCAACCAAGAACTTACAGCCAGGCGGATGTGGAAAGCGGATGAGGATGGGATGGGCAAGATGCTATTTCACAGTGATGCGAGTTTCTATATAAGCTTACCTCCCTGCAAACTGACATGGGCCCTGAAAAAGAACTCTTGAGAGGAGATGTTTCCCTACGACCCAGTGGTTTTCAGGATCTATGATGACCTACGTTTATCTGCTGGAGGGTACCTCTATACTCCTTCCAAGCTCTGCCACTAAAAGCATCTTTCAACATCCTCAAAACATCTGCCATAGGGTCCTCACAACATTCAAAAACGTCCATGATCTGCCTGGTCGACCCGTCTGGGTTCCCACGGCTGACGCGAGTTCCCACGGCCGGCAGCGACTCTTGGAAGCCCTTGCAGCCTGGGCATCAAGGCGACGTCTTCATGCGGTGCGTAAGGTCTTGACCGGCTTAATTCTGGATCCTTCAGTCTTCAGTGTCTTCCGTTTGAATATAGAAATTTCGAAAAACATATACTAGAACACATTAACATATCACTTTTCTCTCCTCCCTCAAGATCCATGGAGATTCCTTGTGAAACACATCCATCCCTCTCTTCGGACGGCGTAAAAAAACCCTCCCAGTCCGGATGTTCCACCCCCGGCCCCGGCGCAAGGCGAGGTTCCGGTCGCCTCGGGGCATGAAGAAGACCTCCGTCTCCGTCGCACCGTCTTGTGCGATGAACCCGAAGTTGCTCGAAATGCGCGACACGTGACCTGCCCGGGCACGTTCTTTGGAGCCAGGCGCCTGCTTTCTGTGTGTTCGAACCTGGAGCCTGGAGTCTGCTAAAGCGATCTAAAGCGATGGGAGGATGGTGCCAGAAGCTGGTTGGTGTAACCCTAGCCTTCCAAGACCCTTTTTAACACATATTAATTAATAATATAATAATTGTTGGTCTTGGTTTTGTAGTGCGCACTCCTTACAAACAATTATCAAACAATGATTGCTTGGTCAACGCAATCAAAACAATGGCTGATCCAATCCCAGGAGCACGTTGTGTGAGATGAATGCTAGCTGCTAGGAGAAAGCTGCAAATAAGAGTTCGGCCGAGCCAAGGGCAATCTTCATCCCAAACCATCCATGGGACTGGAACCATATCATGGACCCCTCTGGCACCACCAGGCCAGTCCCATGGATAGGGGCATAGATGTGGGACAGTAGGAGGGTCAAAACATGAAAAAAACAACCAGAAGGCCGGTCATCTTCCATAGCAACAGGTCACCAGCTGGACGCATCTGGACAGGTTCGGACCTGCTTCACGGATCCCTTCTTCCCGTTCTTGGCTTTGACATGGGTTGCCTTGACCCCCCACCCTCGCGTGTCTTCCTTGCACCCTGCGGCCGGGGGGGAGCCCGCCTCGCGCCGCCGCCCTCCCAAGCGCGTGTTCCGCCGAGCGGACCTGTGAGGGCACCTTCACGAGGCATGGTCGCAGAGGGCGGCCTCGGAGTGGCTCAAAGGAATGGCACTCAGAGTGGCTCGTGGTGGTGGAAGTACAGTCCCCTAGGGCTCCAAGTACCTTCTAAGAAGGTGGGACTGGGGTGGGTGCCAGGAGGGTCCAGTCATACCTGAGCCCTTTGGGGTTCTTTTAGTGTCAAATAAAACATGTCTTTGAAGGCTCCTGAGAGTCTGAATTCAGGCCACTGCCTTCCACGATTCTTCAGTAAAAAGTTTAAAAGAAACTCAGACCATCCATGTGACAGAATGGTCTGTGTCTCCAGTCCAAAACCCACCTCCCACCCCAGTTTTTGCCCGGTGAATCCAGTGTCTGGGAAGAACCATGGGAAGACTCTGGAAGACGAGCAAGGGGACCGACCTCACCAAGACCTGTGGGTCTTCTCCGTGGTCCGGAACCGAGTTGCGGCTTTGAAACCTGGGGAGGAACGTCAGGCTCGCTTCCCCGAGCCGCAAGCCTGGTTGAGCTACGAAGAGGGCTGGTTTTCGGTGCAGTATGTTCTGTAAAAGTCGTGCTGGCTCATCACACATACCGGGCAGTCCCTCTTTCACTTTTTCAAGTGATGTGAGCAAGCTGGAGCCCAAAGAAAGGTCGATGTTGGGTATATCCCATCGCCAGGTTTCAGTGGATGATGATGGTTAGTGAAGGCCTTTCTGATAAATATACTCATGACTCATATATATATATATATGGATATATATATATATAGAGAGAGAGTGTGTGTGTGTGAATCTTTTGCAAATTGTTACTGGTGATGGGATACGCCCTATAGGTGGATAAAGACTACCATGTTCCGGGGATATATGGCTCCAAAACTCCCAAGCGTTTCGTTGGCCGTTGCGAAAGCGTGGGGCCTCGTCCGGCGCTGGCTGAACAGCGTGTGGCCCACACAGCTTCATCCAAGCAGCACTGGATACACTCCGACGAAGACATGGAGATGGACAAACAGGCCACTGAGACCATGAAGTCCTCTACCTGGACCCCACTTCAAGTACATTAGAACATGGGCATGACCCCATAAAAATAGGTACTTGTACCCATTTTCCGAGGTACTTTGAGACTCCAGGTGCATAAATGCAAGAACATCAACAGACCCTCAGGAGATATTTTGACACCGGGGCACATGTTCACCCGGTCTACTTCTTGGTCACTGGTCGAACAAGCGAGTCCGGCCATTCAAAGCGTCATCTGCTCTTTCCCCATGAGCTGCCCACGCAGCTTGAACGTTCGGGTTGTGCATCCTCGGTGCAACTTCTACTGGAGGAGCACTCCTCCCAGTTGCCAGATTTAGACACAGAATGAGGAACAAATAGGAGAAGAAAAGAGCATCTGGGTGAGCCTGTCCCCAAACATCCACTTCCTTTTTCTCATTGATGCATGTTTGAAGCCTCAATGGCGGCACATCTTGGAAGTATATCTGAACAAGAGCCAGCGGCTCAGCTGCTTGGGCTCACACGGGATGGCACCCATGCCAGGTGCACTCATGCCAGGTGCACCCATGCCAGGTGCAACACCTGCGGAAGAACAACTCCTGCCACCTGTTTTGGTGCATTTCACCGGAAAAACCTCTCCAACAGCGCCAAGGCGTCACAAACGACGAAATCAGTCTTCTACACTTCCATATTTGGATGGAGGGTATCTGGTTAGAAGATGTTGGAGAACGCCATCTTTATACATCTTTCCCACCTGAAACAGGGTGACATCTATTAAAAGATGTTAACAGCACATCAAAGGACATCAGGCGAAACCTGTGCGCGGGCCAGGCGAAACGCGCCTGGCGAAGCTCGGCCCTGGATTGGTCGGACCTCGAGTGAAAGGAGAAGGAGCAGCTGTGAGAAGCACGCACTGGAAGAGTTATATGACGATACAACACACACAAATGTATGTATGTATGTATGTATGTATGTATGTATGTATGTATGTATG